AGCCATAGCTGCCATAGCTGTAGTTAGTAGTGAGTGTGTGTGTGTGCTCGAGTGTTAGAGTGATGCGTGTGGGATATCCAGGGTGATCCAGTGTATGTGAACAGTGAGATGTTTGGGCGCTGGAGTCGCCATAGCCATTTGTGAGTGAACTCGTATCTGAAACCATATCTCTGAGTTTTGAGTGGGCGCATGTCGCCAGTGTGCTGCGTTACTGTTTACATGTGTGAAAAGTGTGTTTGAAAACGAATCTGATTGCAGCTGAACCGTTGGGACGATCGCTGCTCCTGTATTGTCCGCGAAGGCTGTGGATTGCAGTTCCGCTCTTGGTCCCGCCTTAAGACTGATCAGGCGACTGTCGGCCTGCAGCATCTCGTGCATTGACTCGATGTAGATGACATAGAGGGCGGGAGAAAACGGATACCCCGGTCTCACCGATCGAGTAACTTGCAGCCTATCCGATCTTACCCCATTAACTTGCATCACAGTCGAGGCTCCATATAGCAGACTACGAATCCAACTGCACAGGATGGGTTTAATTCCCCTTCTCGCCATTCCTTGCAGTAGAAATTCCCATCTGACCCGTTAATAGGCCTTCTCAAGGTCTATTGATACAAAAGCCATTGCCTGTCCTGTGCATTGCTCCTCCTCCAGTATTTGCTGGGGCAGTAGAATATTCGACAAAATCTGGCGACCTGTCACGAACCCAGTCTGAGTATGATCGATAATGCTTGGTAGGGCTTCCTTCAGCCGGTTTGCCAAGATTTTGGCGAGTATTTTATACAGCGCATTCAGGATCGAAATCGGGCGCCAGTTTCACACGTCCTCCTTAGCTCCCTTCTTACATAGTAGAACTACGTATGCATCTGCGAATCCTTGTGGGAGGGCTCTCCCCTTAAGCGCCTCATTGTAAGCTGATGTCAGCAAAATGATGAAGAAAATTGCGGAGTTCCTTGTAGTGCTCCGCCGGCATTCCATCCAAGCCGGGCATTTTAAGCCTAGGGAGCTCTGCTATCGCTCTTGCCACTTCCTCTGTCGTAATATCCTCTTCCAATTTACATGTATCCGCGAGGTTGAGGCGGCGCTGGACATGGCTCCGGATGTCCTGCTCAGGTTCGCTGGCCATCTCCTCGGGAGTCCACTGCTCTCCGTCAGCAATTGGCGGTAAAAATCGGTAACACATTTCAAGATTCCCCGAGTAGTACACTGCTGTTCAGTCTGGCCATCGAAGGGGTGATCCATGGCTGTCATTAATGGTGCTGCCGTTCTTGTCGCCACTGTGACAAAGAACTGGCGTGACATTCGTTCCCCCACCTTGATCCATGCCTCTTTGGTACGTCTGCCCCATTTAGTAGCTTCTTCTGCCTGCCACTCCCTCCATCCTCGTGCTGCCTCCACTCTCTCTGCCCACCATTCTTCCTCCGTCTGGCTCTCCTCAGGGCCCTTGTTCAATTCCTCCATCTTTTGGGCATACTTCTCCCCTGTTTTCCTGTGCGCCAGATAGTTTCCCCGCAGTAGCCTCTGCAAAATGTCCCTCAGTCTTTGCACTGCTGTCATGATTTGCTTCAGCAGCTGTTCCTGAGAGCATCCAAACCTTTGCAATCACAGGGCGATACTCCGGGCTTTTAAAGACCCATGTTGGGATCGCTTTCGGCGGGCGACCCATCTCTAGGCGACCCACCGGGAATATCGCTATTACTGCTGAATGATCCGGCATAGCCATCGGTGCGATTCACACTTGCTCCACTGTCTCGTTTAAATCCACCGACGCCCATATCATATCAATACGACTTCTTCAGGTTACAGTGTTGAGAGAGAGAGAGAGAGAGAGAGAGAGAGAGAGAGAGAGAGAGAGAGAGAGAGAGAGAGAGAGAGAGAGAGAGAGAGAGAGAGAGAGAGANAGAGAGAGAGAGAGAGAGAGAGAGAGAGAGAGAGAGAGAGAGAGAGTGTGTTACATGCACAGATATGCAATGTACGTAATAAACCGAGAATCTGCAATGTGATGAAAAGGACTGAATAGACAATGCGGTACGAGAATCTCGACAAGCAATGTACATTCTCATTCATACATAAAGATGCTGAAGAGCGCAGGGAAGACTTTGATACAAAGACTGACCTGACAGGACTGACCTCATTCACCTAGTTCAGAGTAACGAAGCAGAATGCTAGAGTACCTCTAACTAGCCCAATCAATGTTTGAACTCAGACTAAACATGCATTGTGTCCATCACGAAGTGTGAAGGAGCCTGGCGCTGCACACATGAAGAAAGCGCCAGGTCCAGACATACACAGACGAAGAGATAAGGATCAGACGAAAGGAGGGAAGAAGATGGGAATGTCGTTAACACCAAGTCTTGGTCACCAATCCCAAATAGTCCCTCGTTGTCATGTATGAACCCCTGAAAGTCGAGTCTGGATCATATGTCACCGAGCTCTGTATCTCTTCTCTCGTAGTCTGCAACTGCAGGGAAGTCAGAAGTTGAGAGGGTAAGAAGAAGATGGTGGACTGAGAAGAGGAAGAAGAGAACTCTCTCTCTCTTACTGTTACGAACCAGGTACTAACCTGTGATGGTGGCGCTGTGCTGCAGGTACCTCGAAGACGAAGCTGGAGCAACGGCGCTGCAGGTAAGTGATCCCTGGCCTCCGCCCATCACCTCTACCACTATCTAGCTATGGCGCCCAGCGCTGGAGACTACAGCTACCTACTGCGCCCAGCGCTGGAGACAACAAACTAACGCTACTACTCTACACTGCAGCACTCCCTCCAGAGTGCTGCTCCCGAATCCTGAAGACTACAACTGCCGAACTGCCTACCCGTGAAGTGCCTGGGAAGTCCTATGTACTACCTCGGCCTGCCTCCTGACTACTGGAGGTCAGTCAGGCCGAGGAGGCAGCTCTTGCCAATGCCGAAATGCGCCAGGGGCTGGCGTGCAGCAGCCTGCTTGAGGCAGGCGTGGGAACAGTCTAAATATAGGCTGTTCCCAAAACCCTGGTTCGGTGCCTGAGTTTCAGGGCCGGTCGTTCTGATGAACGACCGAAAATGGCCCTTGGGTTCAGGCTAAAAATGCTATTACCATTTTTAGTCTGAACCGTCGCAGGGGCTGTAGGCCCTGAAAGTCAGGCTTTCGGCCTGAACCGAAATGGGGCCTGTAAGCCCTGAATTTCAGGCTTTCGGCCTGAAATCCAGGGTTTTGGCCTGAATCCAGTCGGGCCTGCAAAATGTCCGTCGGGCCTGCAAAATGGCCCGTGTGTGCACGCGCTGCATGTAACAAAGAGAGAGAGAGAGAGAGAGAGAGAGAGAGAGAGAGAGAGAGAGAGAGAGAGAGAGAGAGAGGGAGTTGGGTGAGTAAGGATGGCGTCAACAACTGACTGCAAAGTTAATGATTGAAAATGCCATTGAAGAGCAGGCTTTTTTTTTGGGGTCCAGAGGATCGGACAGAACCGGTTGATTTGTGAATCCCTCCCCCCCTCGCTCCCTTGTAAACGGCATAGCCGCAAATGTATTGTGTTCGGCTGGATGCAAATTTTTGATCTGTCAGCACTTGCTGTGAAATTGCGGTTGTCAGAAGGACACTGCTAATGTCAGATATTGCATTATCTGGTACTAGGAAATCCAGATCCTTTTCGAACATTCATGCGCTTTGTATTAGAGGCTGTAATAAAGTCTCGGTTCCTATACTGAAACGGTTTTCACCTTAGCAGTAGCAGATGCAGATCCCAGGGCTCAATCCCTAGACCTTACCACACCCATGTACAGTATCAAGTCGACCCCTGTGTGTTTGAACCTGTGACCTGTGTTTTGGTAGTTGACTGTTGCCTGTCGTAGGTCTGTGTAGCTGTAGGGGTTCGATCTGTAGGTCTGTCGACTAGGGGTCATAGTTGTGTAGAGGTCGTAGCTGTAGCAATTCTGAAAGGTCAAGGTCGTAGCTGCTACAGTCCTGAAAGGTCAAGGTCGTAGCTGCTACAGTCCCGAAAGGCCAAGTCCACAGACTTCCGGAAGGTCCAGAAGTGGCCTTTGGAGTTTTTCTCACGTTACTCACAGCAGACCAGAGGCAAATGGGCAAGTGGGCAAGTGGTGAGTCCAACTTTGCTTAGTCAGCAGTACCCAGTCCCAGTCTCACTTTGTACAGTCAGCGAGTACCATGAGGGACTGTGTGCACCATGGGCCCGGTGGAAAAGGGCAGACCAGCGACTTACAGAAGTATAAATCAAGAGGCAGCGTCCAGCCATTCATTCATTCCTGCGTGAGCCATGCGGAAGCGCTGCCCAGGCAACTTGTGCGAGGTGGTCTGCAGATGCCCGAAGTTGAAGCGGGCTGAAGGGAGATAGTTACTCCATTGCCAGTAGTAGTAGAGCGGCCATAGCCGCTGTAGCTTAGAGGCAGAGTTCAGTGTGTGTGTGTGTGTGTGTGTGTTGTACAGAGTTGTGTGCGTGGAATATCGAGGGAGATCCAGTGTGAAGTGCGTGTGAGCAGTTGAGGTGAACACTGAGTTGGGGAAGAGGAAGCGCTCAGGCGCCATAGTCATTATGGAGCGAGTTTGTGTCTGAACTGCGTCTTCAACTTGAACATCTCTCAGCTTTGTGTGGGCGCCCAGCGCCAGTGTGGAATGCTATCTGTTTGTATGCATGCGAAGTGAGAAGAAAGCGAGTCTTATTGCAATATCGTTGATGAATTCTTCTCGTTTTCTTCTCTATTTTACTTCTTATGCTGCACTCCACCCTCTGTTCCTTTTTTTTTTAATAAGAGGGGATAATGCTCCAATTTATTCGTGGGGAGCAGCAATTCGCTGGGAACCAGGCCCAGTGTCCCTTATGAAAATAGTAAAATACACAACAATTTGCGATACCTGAGCCATTACTCGGCTTCGGCTAAGAATGACAGGGATATTCATGAACAACTGCTGGAGGTTTGAAAGTCTTCTGAAAGACCAGGAAATTCTACGAAAAAAACACAGAAGAAGAACTTGCGAAATGAGAAGAGGGCCGGAGTACTCAAGCGCCACCCTCTCTCTCCGTGGAAGTAGGGGGAGCACTTGCTACTATCTGCCTCCGCCAAGGGTTAAAATATTCCATGAACCCCAGCCCCAGAGTAGAGCAACCGCCAATTACTGCCCTTACATCCCCCCCTCCCCTCCTCCCCCTCTTCCCAGACAGATCACTTCACTCCAAGATGCTACCTCTGCAGCATAGGGTTCCCCCCCATATTGGCAAATGAGGAAAAAACGCAGAATAAAGAGGTGTCACAGCATAGCCACTGAAAATCCCTCCTCCACCCCCCCGCTTCCTCCCAGAGGATAAACTTCCCCCCTGTCCATAAACTGCCCCTGCCGCTGAGAGGGTCCTCCACCCTCTACCTCCTCTTCTTTTGGGATATGCTCATCTTGCCATAGTGCTTTCTGATGCAGGCAAAGCTGCAACAGGCCGTCTTGTTGATTCGCTGGCCCTCCTGGTCGATGATTATTTCGGTTTATTTAATTCATACGAAAAGAGGAAGAGGAGAAATTGAGGGAGATGAAAGCTGTGATGAGATGGAGGAGATAGATACATTGGAGTATCGTGGTCTTCTTGTTCATCGTCATCGTGGTCTTCTTCTTCTTCTTCTTCTTCTTCTTCTTCTTCTTCTCCTTCTTCTTCTTCTTCTCCTTCTTCTTCTTCTTCTTCTTCTTCTTCTTCTTCTTCGTTGTCGTCGTCGTCGTTGTCGTCGTCGTTGCTAATCTACCTCTTCCATTCTTGAGTCAGGATTGATGGCATTGTCTCAAATGTGAGTTTTGTCTCTTGAGTGGATCGGTATTATAGCAATATTCAAGACTAAATGTCAGGCCCCACTGTTGCTATGGCTCCCAGTATGAACCTGGTCGGAATAGAGGCGAGGTTCGTGCTGTTCTAGCATGAACATAAGGTCAGTGGGGCCTGCCTATAAGATCGCGGTTCCAAATTTCATGGTGATATTGGAATCATTGCTCCTCCTCCCTCCGTTATATCTCCCCTCCTTTATGCTCCCCTCCTAGCTGACTGTGTACTGTTGTTGCTGTTTTTATTCCTCTTGCGCAGGACCCATACCATGGTGCCGGACAGGCCATAGGCCTCTGTTTCGCTGTCCCGGAGACGGCAAAGATCCCCCCGAGTTTGCAAAACATATACAAGGAGCTTCACACAGATGTTGGTTTCAAAATTCCCAAACATGGGAATCTGGAGAGATGGTGCGCTCAGGTGTGCTCATTTTTTTCTCAGACTCTCTCTCTCTCTCTCTCTCTCTCTCTCTCTCTCTCTCTCTCTCTCTCTCTCTCTCTCTCTCTCTCTCTCTCTCTCTCTCTCT